TTTGTTGTGCATAGAGTGTTGGCATGTAATAAGTCGTTAATTATGAGTACTCTGATCAAGTTTGTATTTTGTGGTATCTTTTATGTAAATTAAAGTATTTTGTTTTAAATAAAGTTTTAAATTTCCCGGGAATTTTCTTTAAGTGTCAAGGTTTTAAAAGTCAATGTGACACCTCGGACTCGTATTCGGGTCGGGTACGGGTTGGGGTGTTACAAAAACAGACATGGTATTAAACAGTGAAAACAAAGACAAATATGTTTCAAACTTGCACGGTATTCACCCAATTCATTATTCTATCATAGTTCACAAAATGCATCAGATAACATTCCAGAAGTAAGCACTTATATAAACATTTAAAAGGACAACATATAGGTTTAGTGCATGTTCAAGGACAACATAAAGAGTAGTAGTTTATTATTGAAACTTAAATTTGCAACACTGTGAAGTTAGCATTTGTCTTTGTCTTTTGGTTGAAGTAATGCAATCCATTTAAGTTTCAATTTGCAGAAGAAGAATAGTTTTTGAAACTTAAAATCGCAACACGAAACTTAAAATCGCAACGCGAATTTGACTATCGCAACGGGATAATCGCAATGCGAAACCAAAATCGCAACGCGAAACTAAATTCGCATTGCGATTATCTCGTTGCGATAGTCATTTACGCGTTGCGATAGTCATTTTCGCGTTGCGATTTTAAGTTTCGTGTTGCGACTATTCTTCTTCTGCAAATTGAAACTTGAATGGATTGCATTACTTCAACCAAAAGACAAAAAAAGACAAATACTAACTTCACAATGTTATTTTAGAACTGTTTAGCAGTATTGGCAGCAACCGAATGAATTTACTAAGCAATCTAAGTGAAATGGTTAATCTAAGTGAAATTACGAGTAAATCAAGTTAAATATGAAAAATATTAAACTTACCTCGTTGTGTAGAGTATGAACCTTATTCTGCAACGATGCTACCATCTCACGTAGAGCGCCTACCTCCCCACGTAAAGTAGATACCTCATCACGCCATGCACCATTGTCATCGCGTAAAGTACCGACCTCCTCACGCAAGGCATTCACCTCATCAAGTAACTCCCCTAACTCATCCCGTGGAGGTGGAGGTGGAGGTAGAGAACAAGGAGATAAATGTCGTGGCATCTTTGCCGGTCGCCTATCATGAGGTGATGGTGGAGAAGAGGCTCGATGATGTGACGGAATAGGTGATGGCTCTTGTTGTAGATGTGTATAGTGTGGTCGATCAGGTGATGGCTCTGGGTGAGGTGATGGCTATCGAAGTGGAGGCTGCTTATCATCTGTGCCATAAAAAAAAACGCTTACTAGCTTACCACCAATCAGTGGCAAGCTCAGCCTCTATTGGTGTCAGCCTCTGTAATGGAGTGTTGGCCTCCTAACAATATAAAAGCTCAAACAAAGTTAAACGTGTACTAGTAATAACTTGTTTATATATGGTAGTATTTGTATTAACTTACATAATTTATTGTCGTATACCGTAGTAACTCTTCCCAATCCAACAGCCGTCGTTTCCTCTTCCAGGAAATAGCCCTAGGAATATCATTTGAAGTTTTTAATGCATATGTCTGCATACCGGGAAAAGCCTCAAATATCCAAATCTACAAACAATATAATACACAAACATTAGTAATTGTTAAATAATTAATTATAATTTTAGATACATTATATAGAAATTCTTACCTTAAAGGCCCAAATAAAGCTTAACAAAGTGTATTTGGAATCATCGCCACACAAACTTTTTCGGTCATCAAAGGCAGACGACAACTTATTCCAGGTAGCTTTCCATAGATACAAACCCCACGGAAACAAGTTCCATGCATTTAGGTCCTCTACCAATAATATTACGTCCTTAGGAATAGGTTGTCTGGCCTCTCTGCCTAAAAAGCTGGCATGTAAAAGTACTAAAAGGCATACTCGGACAACATCGACGTTATCCATCCGAGTAAAACCATCTTTCTTATTAATTAATCTCGTCAAATCGTTGATATGTAAATTCGACTTCTCCATTGATAGCTCAGGAAAAACCCGGGATAACCATGATGGGCGGGTAATATGACTAGTGTATCGACCTACATCATATTGTCCGAAGCATAGACAAGTGATTAAACAAAACTCCTCCTGCGCCAAAACTCGTATGCACCGGTGGAAAATGAAACCATATCTCTTCATTACCACGTTTTATACTCTCGGGTAGATCGCTAGTCATGGTCTGAAGCCACAAATGGGTCAACATAGCATCTCCACCCGGTTGTTATACTTTCAGCCATGGCCCGAAGCAAGTATCCTCAAAAAAATTTCTTTGTACAGGTGAAAGCTTCGACGCAATTGTAGTGACTAGGCTTATTTTATTCCTTAAGGTCAATTGAGCCGAAAAAAGTTCTACAAAAACAATAAACATACCAAGTTAGATATACCAAAAACTACACTATGAATATATACCAAAAACAATAATAAACATAAAGAGTAGTAGTAGTTTATTCTTCAAACTTAAATTTACAACACTGTGAATTTCGTATTTGTCTTTTGGTTGAAGTAATGCAATTCATTCAAGTTTCAATTTGCAGAAGAAGAATATTTTCTGAAACTTAAAATCGCAACACGAAAATGACTATCGCAACGCGAAATGAAAATCGCAACGCGAAACTAAAATTGCGTTGCGATTTTGTTGTTGCGATTTTCATTTCGCGTTGCGATTCTCGGTTTCAAATAGTCATTGTCTAAAATTGAAACTTGAATGAATTGCATTACTTCAACCAAAAGACAAAACAAAGACAAATACTAACTTCACAGGGTTAAAGACTAAACAATTTAGCAGTATTGGCAGCAATTGAATGAATATAATAAGCAATCGAAGTGAAATGGTTAATCTATTATTGAAATTACCAGTAAACTTATCATCAATTTCAATATGAAAAACCTAATAATAATGCAAAAAATTCAAAATAAAAATAATTAAAAAAACTAACCCTCGGTGGTTGATTTGATTGATTTTCCATTTCTGACCGTGAATGATTGTGAGGGTGGCTCTGAGAGATGGAGATAGACGGATTTCGCCGGAGATAGGGACGGATTTCGTCGGAGATGGGGACGGATGTCGCCGTAGAGAGTGAGAGATGGAGATGGGACTGAGTTGTGATTTAGGGTTTTAGGTTATGAGTTGCGATTACGGGATATATTAATATTCATGTTTGGAATTTGAAAATAAAATAAGCGTTGCGATACTAATGGTGCTTTGAAAATCGCATTGTGATTTTGTATTATCGCGTTGCGATAGTCAGAATCGCGTTGCGAATCTGGAAACTGATTTGCGATACTGGAGATCGCGTTGCGATTTAGAGATCGCATTGAGATTTTGTTAGTTATTTTGGCAAATCGAAAAAAAGTTGGTCAAAATAGTATATTATAAGGCATTTTCGGTCACTGAGGTTATTTACTCAAATATAAATCAATAAATTCATTATTTGATTTTCCATCTATATACTTAAAAATATATGCTCCAAAGTTTCCAACTTATCACATTTTTCTAACAATATTTATTAATTTGGAGTCAAAGATGACGAGAGAGAAATGAGTTGAAATCTCATATCCATTTTGTGCTTTCTTTTTTTATATTTTGATGAAAAAAAAGTTATTGCTCGACTCTTATTTCAATCAATTTTCAAGAAATATTATGTAGAGATGTCAATTTAATCTGAATCAAATGAGTTTTAATCTGATTTGATAGCGTCGTATTTTTTATAAAAAAAATCGAGTTTGGTTTCAAGTCAGATTTTTAAGGGTTAGGTCGGGTCGGGTTTTGGTGGAGGGTGAAAAACTCTGAGCCGTCCTGAGGATAATAATGTAATTTCTTAAAAAAATATTATTTTTAATTAAATCCTTATTTTATACTGGGTCGAGTTAGATTTATACTCTAGAAATTCAGGTATGGTCTGGTGGAGGATATAAAATTTTCAGGTTTGGTCAAATTCGGGTGGAGGATACACATTTACGGGTCGGTTTGACAAAAAACCCGACCCTAACCCAACCAGTTGCCATCTCTAATCGTAATCGGTTTGGTCAAATTTTAAGTTATTCGAGTCAGCTTGAATTATCAATTCGATTTTTGAGTTTGAGTATAGTTAAAATTTGAAAATTTCGAGTTACTCGAAAAACTAAAGATTTGACTAAGTATTTTGACAGTTTTATAATTTAATCCCTAATTTCATTTTGTCTTCAATTCTTTCTTCATTTTAAGTCTATTTTTTTTTACTAAATTTGAACCACATGCTTCTAAATCATCGTATGATACATATGTACTTTCAATTCCTCTTTTTGATAATAAGTTTACTACTTTTCAATTTAGTCCCTCAACTTTTTATAATTTTATTATTTCTTCAATTCATCTTTTATTTTAAGTTTATTTTTTTTTACTAAATTTTAACCACAGGCTCATATACCACTATAGAATACCATTATAACTTTAATTCTTTATTTTTTACTAAAAATGTACTCTTTTTTATTTAATCAATTCATTGACTCCTTTATACTCTCGTCAACCTTTCATTCTCAAAATACTTTATTTAAAATATATTATTGTGAACATATTTTATAATTAAACTTCTCCGGGCCTGCAAAATTTCACATGATCCTATCACAAAAGCCATGAAATCAGATCAGATTCTGATGATCCCAACAGTCTTCACTGCTGCACCTGAATGCCTCGGGAATTTGGAATGATGCAACGCGATTCATATTCGACCAATCAAATCATCTCTCGATATTTTCCCATTCTCTTGCCTAACCAAAGATTTTCCCTCTCATCTCTTCCAATTTGCATCACCAAGATTCTTCTTTTTTCAATCTTTTCCATTCTTTGTGATGCAAATTCCTGGGTTTTCTGCACACAGTCGGATCGAATGATAAAAAAGTTGTCATCTTTAAAGGTTTATCTATGGTGAACTTAGCACTAAATGCAGAGCAAGCAAAGAAGAACATATCTGATTCGAAAGCACCATAATAAAAGTGCAAAACATCGAAGTGCCAACACATTATCTTAGGTAAAGTGTTATTTGACTTAGTAAAGCGATGACCAAAATGAATGATCTTCCACCGGTAATTCAAAATTACATGAATTGGCATTTGCATCGTAGTAAAATTCGAGTTCGGACTTCGTGAAGAACATAGGTGGATGCGGGAGCAGCAGGCTCTTGCTTAGATTTTCATCGTCTCGGGAGTTATCGGACTGATCCGGTTCAAAAACGTTCGACGAATCGATCAATGGAGAACGGTTCCCATCGGCGTAACGAGGGCTATCCGAGTCGAAAACATCGCTTTTAGCCGAACATGCTTCTTCCAACGATGGCACATGGGACACAGGAGATGTTTTCAGCACCTTCTCTTTCAGTGCAAGTACCTATTGGGCAGTGAAAATAGAACAATCAGTTCTAACAGGATCATGTGTAAAATTTTATGTTAACAACAAAGAATTTATAAAATGTTAGCGGACGAAAACATATTATCGATAGAAAATTGTAAAAATGTTTGGTTGGTCTTGCCTCGTTTCTCAAACTATCCTTCTCCTTCAGGAGATTCTCATAGTCAGCCTTGAGCTTCTCGTAGCCAGCTTTCATGGAATCATAGTCTTTTTGAAGGCGCTTGTTCTTAAACCGAGCACGCCGGTTTTGAAACCAGATTGCAACTTGTCGGGGCTGCAAACCGAGTTCCGTCGCGAGTTGCAACTTCCTGTCTGGTTCGAGTTTGTTTTCAACCTCAAAGCTTCTCTCGAGAAACTCAACTTGTGTGGCTGTCAGCCGCCTTTTCTTCCGCGGCGGGTTGTACGATCCGTTGAAATCATCATCTCCATTATCTTCTTCGTCAACCGGTTGGAACAACGGCATCTCTGTGGTAATTTCAACTCCATTAACATCCTCGTAGCTAGTTGAAATTTAAACTTACAACAATCAACCAAAAAAATTGAAAGAAAAAAGAGCAGGGGAGAGAGGAAAAGGAGAATTACCCTGTAGAGCAGAGGAAGAAGAGGGTATCCATAAAGATTCCATAACCTGAGAGGAACAAGAAAGTTGTTCACTTTGAACCGAAACATTCATGTCTGAAACCCATAAATCACCAGGAAAGGAAATGGCCAATCTTCAAGCTATGAAACCCAGAAAATTTTTGAAGCTTTTCATGAGTACAGGTAATCAAAAGTTGAAAACTTTGAAGAGAGATTATTCCCTATCTAGGACTTGGGGTAGAAGGGCCTATGGGATTTAGATCAAGCTTCAGTTGTCTGGTTTGTATTTTTCTCCTCGTGAGAGTGAACGAGTTGAAGTGGAATTACTTTATTGTCCCTACAATTTTCATTTAAGGTATTTAATATCTTATAATATAAATAATATGATAAGGGATAACTACATGATTGATAACTTATGTTTGTGTTTTATCAACTTTTCCTCACCAATTTAAAAAAACATAATATATGGTCACTTTTCTTTTTATTTAATTAAGATATGGTGAGTTTTTATTTAATTAAGATGTTGTCACCACGGGTTAATTGTCGCTAACAGTTAACATATAAGGTGATGTGGTATTTTAGTATAATCACACATTTGGTCTATGTTGTTTACATAATCTCTCAATTTAGTCATATTTATAATAAATTAAAATAAATTTAATCCTCCAATCGAATGATGCCACGTATCACCATTCGGTTGGAGGACTAACTTCAAAAATTTTCAACATAAAATATATATTTTTAAATTAAGTTAATGATAAATATATTAATTTACAATAAATATAATAAATTAAAATCAAGTTAGTCCTTCAATCAATGGTGACAAGTGGTATCACTGAAATGCGACATCATTCAATTGGAGGATGAAATATATTTTGATTTATTAGAAGCATGACTAAATTGAGAAAATATGTAAATAACATGGACCAAATGTGTGATTATACCAAAATATTTAACGACAATAAACTCTTGGTTACCTCATCTTAATTAAATAAAAACAAAAGTAATCATATACTATATTTTCTTAAATCAATGAGGAAAAACGGACGAAACACAAACATAAATGATCAATCATGTGGTTAACCACGGTGTTAAATATATAAAATGTTTGTCTAGATTACATTAATGATAAACTTCTTATGTGCCTAATTGTCATAGTTTTTTCGTCATTTTTGTCTGTCACAATTTACTATTAACATTTGTTAGTTTAGTCAATACTTGTGGACGATACATTCAATTTTAGGTTTTAATTTTTCAGAGGCTTAGGCTTAGTTGTAGACGAGTTATCTGCTTTGAGTGGAGAGTCGTAATCGATTGTAAAAATTCAAACAATAATTGATATTTGGTTTCTTTTTTAGATTTATTCGAATAGATGAACAATGTAGAAGGTTTGATCTCTTCTTAGTATTGTCTGGTGATTTATATACTAAAATTACTGATGTTAGAGTTAAGGTTGTATGACATTCGTAAGCTGACATGATGTATAAATATGATCACCTGATAATAGATTTGATACTGATAGATTTTTATTTATTGAGGGTCTTGTCAAAGATTAATGGATGGACAAGGACTTTGTCTTGCATAAGAAGACTTCAACGAACGAGTGAATTATTATTCGTGGTTACGAGTAGAGAAGTATCTTCGGAAGTATGTTGATTTCTTCGGTACAACTAGGGAAGATATACCACCAACAATATACCGACACTATCTTCTTATAGTATGATCGTTGAAAATTAAACCGAGTTGGACTTAGAAATACATTTTTGAACTCTAAAGATATGCATATATTATATTTGTAGAGACGATAAATATCGACCATTTAGTTAGATAGGTGAATTTTTCATAAAAGGAAAATAACAAATGACAACGACTTTGTTTATTTGTTTGTTTTTAAGTGGGTTTCTTGTCTCCAACTTGCTTGTTGGGGAGTTGGTCTGTTCTTCATGCTAAGGGCAGAACGCGGACGATCAGGACAAGTCGGTTCTGGGGCAATGCATAGATAATTTAAAAGGGCAAACTACACATTTAGTACTCAAATTATCACTTTCAATCCATTATGATACCCAAACTTTATTTTTTTTCCTAGAATCATACTTAGCGTTTAGTTTAGGTTTTATTTTGGTGACCCACCGTTAAAAACTTAACGGTGATGTCGATGTGTCACCATAAGGTAATGTCACATCATCATTGGGGGAAAATAAAAAATGTTAAGTTGGTAGTTCTGTTAATTTTTTTAACGATAGTGTATAGGGGTGCTTATCGAGCGAGTCGATCACGAGTTGGGCAGTGCTCGACTCGTGCTCGTTAAAAAATTTGTTGCTCGATTCGACTCGTGCTCATTAATAAAATTTGTTGCTCTACTTGTTGCTTGTTAAGCTCGATGCTCGTTAAACTCACTGAAATTTTTACCTTATTTTCTTAACTATATGTAAAATCTTCTAATAATATATAGAGCTTAATATAATCTTAAATTAATAAATTTAACCAAAAAATTATCAAAAGAATGTATGAAGTAATTTCAAAGCCTAAACTCTAAAATAACAATCCACAAATACATTAAAATAATAAAAAAGATTAATTTTATTTTTAAGTGTAGTAAAATATTAAATAATAATTCAATATTCTTTTGTTGTTTATTAAAAAGGTAATAGATTACCAATTTATATCTTTTTTATTAATCTATTAGTAAATTAGTAATTTTTTGAATGGAATAATTTTTTAAGTTAACTGCTAAAAGAATATACTTAAAAAAAAATAACGAGCTACTCGCAAACTTATTGAGTCGAGTTGGATTTTGCTCGGCTCAACTTGTTAAGGTCTCGAGTCGAGCTCGAGTACGAGTTGAGTTTTTACGGAGTTGTGACCGAGTCGAGTTCGAACTACTCAACCGGTTAAGCACCCCTAGTAGTGTAGCAAATTGAAATATAAACTAAACATTAGACATGATTTCAAAAAAAAGAGTAAAGTTTAAGTACCAAAACAGAACAAAAATAATAGTTTAGATACTAAACCTGTAGTTTACCCTTCTCTCAATACAAAAGAATGTTTATTGAAGGGAAAAAGTGGAATTTGGGAAGGGTAAAATTGTAAGAAGGAAAAAAACAAAAAGGGGTAAATGTAGATGACAATGATGCAAGGAAGAGGGCGAGAAAAACAAAGGCAAAGGGTGTAATCAGTCATTATCAGATCTTAGTAAATAGGGGGAGCCGCACTTAGATGACTCATCTATAATTTAATTAAATTGTTTTTTTTAATTAATCACTAATATTTAATTTATTTACCGACTAATCTAGATCAGGTATTATAGAAGTGAGTGTGACTTTCTCAATCCAGTTTACTCCATTCGCAAATGTCAGGATTCGAATCCCTGACCTTGCTTAAAGAAACCAGTACCTCATCCCACTAGATCAACTGATTGTTGTAATATTTTTGAATTAAATTGTTTTTAAGTACTAATATTTTGCTAGTATTGAAAATAGAAACTAGGGATGGCAGTATGACCCGAACTCGACGGGGAAATCTGAAACCCGGTCAAGTTCGGGTCGAGTTTGGATTCAGGAATTTTTTTCGAGGATTTTTTCGGGTCGGGCTCGGGTCAAGGTATCCTCACCCCGACCCAATTATATATATATATAATATTTTATATTTTTTATATATAAAATATTTTCGAGTTCGAGAACGAGACAAAAAAAATTCTCGATGAGACACCCTAATAAAAAATTTGTCGGATATCAAGTCGAGAACGAGGCGAGCAAAACTCACCCCGAACCCGACTTGTTGCCATTCCTAATAGAAACCAAGTTGATATGTTTTGGAATTTCTCTGACGACTTTGGTCCTTAGGCCATTCAGTCCACTCGTCAGGCGGCCGCCTCCGACTCTCCGCGTAAAATTTTGAATCTACTAGAGACGAAGGGCCAATTAAGATGTATATCTAAACATCAATATTCGATTTAATTAAGTCAAGTTGAGTTAAAAATATTAAATTAATTCGAATTAGTAAGTTTTATTTTAAGATTCAAAACGGTAATGTACATAAATGGTCTCTTAACTATAGAGCGTAGTTTTGTTGAGTTATCTGACTATTAAAAATTATAAAATGGTACTCTGACTTTGGATGTTGTTATGTTTTGTTCAGTTCTCCGGCCAATAAAAGTTACAGAATTGTCACTCGACTATTTTATGTTTCAAACTCATCTTTTTTTGTTAAAATATTAACGATCGTTTGAGTTGGACGCTAACATGTTAACTGAGATATAATTAAATCATATTTTAATTTTTTCTATTGGAATCGCCATTGCTTTCAAGCATTGGCTCTACGACATAATGTAAACGAAAAATTAATCAACAAAATACAACTAAAACAGTTTTAATATCAACTTTTAATAGTTGGAAGTAGGGCTGTAAATGAGACGAGACTGATCGTGAGCAACTCGAGATCAACTTGGTTAAAACTCGATAAATATTCGACTCGAAAGAACTCAAATCGAGCTCTACTTGAGTTCTTAAAGAGCTGAAATGAGCTACTTGATACTCGACTCGAAAAACTCGTGAGCTACTAAAAAATATAATTTATTAAGATTTTCTTTTTTAAAAATAAATTATTAATAATATTAACATTTATGTGTTGATTTCTTTAAAAAAAATAGTATAAGATTTTCATGTATTTAAGATTTAGGTTCGAGTTCGAGGCTTCAATCGAGTTAAGTTTATGATTTTGTTTTCTATTTCGAGCTTTTTCAAGCTTCAATTCATGATTTCGAGTTCTAGCCGAGCTTGGAAATTTTAGGCTCACGAGTTATCGAGCAGAGTCAAACTTCATTTTTAGAGTTTTTAAATCGAGTCGAGCTCAACAATACTCGAATTCGACTCGGCTTGTTTACAACCCTAGTTGAAAGACTCAACAGAACAATATCTTATAGTCAATGGATTATTTTGTAACTTTTAATAGTTTATTGTGTGATGACACTGGGCTCAGGCTTGGTGTGAGGGCTAATACTCTGGTGTTCTCTCGAGCAAAGGTCTGTATTCGTCCCTGCGACCAAGCCTCTTCCTTTTCATTTATGGTATTATTTAAGTTAAGAGTAAATTATAAATTTTACCACTTAAGTTTGATTATAATTTTGTTTTGGTTATTAAACTTAATTTTTTTTTTAATTTGATCACTCAACTTTGATATTACTATATATTTTTTTATCACTCTACGGTTAATTATTTAACGGCACAATGACATGTATCTATCT